TGCCGAATTGCCGCTAATTCGAAAGTGAAAGTAAAAGGCGCACGGTGCTTTTAAGCTATTTAAAGCGAAGGAAAGCGAGGAAAAGAGAGAAAATTCAAACAAACTAAAAACGAACAATTGCTTTACGCCGAATTGCCGCTATTTGAAAGTGAAAGTAAAATGCACACTCGGTACGCCGCTTTTACAAGCTATTTAAAAGCTAAGGAAAAGAGGAAAAGAGGGAACGCCCCCGCCCCCACGGTGATACCGGTATAATAAATTACATTTTACAGTATATTCAGAAAATAGAAAATAGCTATTTTAAACTGTAATAATATTTTGCAGTATTACTGTCTTTTTTATTTAAATACATGCAGCCTTGGTGAATATAAAAGACTTCTGTTCAGTACAGTTCACCCAAAGTTGAAATTTTTGTCATCATCATCCAAACTTGCATGAGTGTCTTTCTTCTGCTGAACACATATTTTGAAGAATGTTGGGAATCAAACATGATACACAACGTATAATTGTATTTTGTAGATGTATGATATAATATGAGCTGTTGAAACAGAAGCTTGTGGTTTAATGTGAAGCTGTTGAACGATTGGTTTATTTCAGAGACATTTCTCGGTGTTTGCGCTCTCGTTTCCTGGTGTGGACGCTCTGAACACCATCTACTGCAGCATCTTGAGTCAGCATCTGCGCGGCGAGGGATTCCCAGCCGTTCTGCAGAAGAGCTGCTCTCAGCTGGTCCAGCTGGCCCTGGCCTTCCATCAGCGCGTCACCGCAACCTTCCTGCCCACCGCCATCAAGTTCCACTACATCTTCAACCTGCGTGACCTCTCCAACATATTCCAGGTACTCCGATCACACTCCAGCAGACTCCAGTTATGATCTTTCAGTGATAAACCATTAATCCTGGCAATCAGTGTGAGGAAATGACTTACCTGCTGTTCCGTCTCGCTCTTTTCAGCTGGAGAAAGTTTTATGATCTGGTCTGTGTCTAATATTCATTTAATACAAGTCATGAGCTATCATGAGTTTGGAGAGAAAACAGTGCGAGTAATTTCTCTCTAACACTTTGAGATGAGATGCAGATCGATTAACTCTAGAACAGGTCATGAAAACAGCGCCGTCAGAAAGCCACCTATCAGCTTCTGATTGCAGTCAGAAATTAATAATTAATTCACCCATAGATTTTTTTAAATGTGCACATTCTGACAAAGGCATAAAATGACTTTTAATTAATGCATAAAATTGATTTTTTTCTTCTAACTAGCAGACGCGCTTGTGGTCACATTTAAATCCACTCCATTCTCAACCTAGTTAAGGAAGTCAACATCATTATCCAGATGCATAAACAGTTCAGTCCGTCCACCTTTTAAGTGCGGCTCTGCTGTCCCAGTTCTTGTTATTGTGCTGGATTAGACAAACGGCTTTACTGAGCCCCGTTTCCTCGCTTTAGCGATGATGAAAGCTGGAAAAGAAGAGAATAGCCTCTGAAGCTCCACTCATTGTTGTGGGTGCAGTCGGAGTAATGAAGCGAAATGAGAGCGGGAGAAAGGAGCAGATGAGACGCAGCTGAAGGAACATTTGAAGTGCGGCCCTTAGTTCTGCCTTACTAATTCAGCTCACAGCTCAGCTGCCGGAGAACAGAGACACACCACTGCCTCGTACAGCGGATCTCACGACACGTTCCCTCTGAGCTTTCCATAAGGCTTCGTCTGCAGCTCTTATCTTGACTGCATGTTCGGTGTTTCTGTTGAATCGAGACCGCGGCGATTGCTGGTTATTTCTCAGACCTCTTTAATTGGTTGGTGATACAGAGCATTTAAAGTCTCCTGTTACACCGAGAGGGCCCCAAAGGTGCAATCTTATCCAATTTGTTTTTGTGAACTCTTTTAAAAAAATAATAAAATGCAGCCTGTTCGCCCCACAGCCAAGAAATAGTTTCCCATTTTAAAAGTTTGGTGGAAAAGGTTTTTTTTTTTTTTTAGATGCTGCTGGTAGGTACTTTATTTCAGCGTGGTGATTGACGTGAAGTCATTAATTTATAGCCCGGGTGTGAGGAAATGCTCGGATAATTAGGCTCCGTTGAGGACTGGATGGGAAGCACTGCCGTATGTCATCAGAACGGAGTTCCTGAGGCGCTGTCCGGCCGTGACTGGACCTGCATCTCACTGAGCAGCGATGGGCCATCGGTTTGATTTATTTGTTTTCAAAGGAGGCTCATCGCTGTGGAAATGGCGTCTGAAGAGCCGCGTGTGTGACTGAGATTCACTGCAGTGCAGGAGTGCAGAATAATGAACAGCAGCAGCAGCAGGTTCAGATTTATGGAGCATTTACAGCTTTAGAATTTAATCAATTCATCTGAATTGGGGTGTTTTGGGTAGTTTCCCTCTCTGCCTTTTTTATTATTAAATGAACTTTTATTTTTGTTCTATGTCTTGTTGGCAACTTTGTCTGAAACATTGTTTATTTATTTTTTACTTTTAAAAGCCTACTATGTATGGATTTCATACTCTTATCCCAGGCTTTTAGTCATAAAAACTGTTAAGACAAAGAGTGATTAACAATAATAAGTGTATATATAAAAATTAGTAAGTACATATGAATAAAATAATACATTTAAGACAAACAAACAATTTCTATAGTATATATTCACAGTATATTTTGTGAAATCTTTTATATCAATCTTTACAAAAATTACAACAGGAAACCATTTGTGTATATTATTTTTACATTTTCATATTTGCACTGTAACCACAGAGTGTGATGAAATGCACTGTCTAATTTTACATGTGGAAATGTGGTTCAGAAAAAAAAAAAGATTGAGAATGTGCAAAGTTTGTTTTAAGGTCGTTTATATTCTGAGATTTGTAATAGCCAAAAATACATTGTATGGGTCAAAATTATAGATTTTTCTTATAATTTTCTTTCCAAAAATCATTAGGATATATTAAGTAAAGATCATGTTCCATGAAGATATTTTGTAAATTTCCTATCGTAAATACATCAAAGCTTAATTTTTGATTAGTAATATGCATTGCTAAGGACTTCATTTGGACAACTTTAAAGGCGATTTTCTCAATATTTAGATTTTTTTGCACCCTCAGATTCCAGATATTCAATTCAATATGTATCTCGGCCAAATATTGTCCTATCATAACAAACCATACATCAATGGAAAGCTTATTTATTCAGCTTTCAGATGATTAATTTTGAAAAATTGACACTTAAGACTGGTTTTGTGGTCCAGGGTCACAAATATGGAATAGCAGGTTTGCTGGATGGTCGATTAGTATTAAATAGACATGTCTAAAATAGACATGTTTATTGATTATTAGTTTGATTCAGAACTTAAATGGTTATACTTTGTTTCGAGAGCTTTTATGTAGCTTTAACAGAGGAAGAAAGCATCTAAACGTGGTGTGTTCAGACAGGTCTGTGCTAGAATAGAGCTCATTCTTCAGTGTTGAAGAGCTGAAGCAAAGTCAGAAGAGCTCCGGAGTGTCAGAATAAAAGCTGAGGAGAAATCAGACAGATGCTTGGTGTAAATCTAGCGTCAGACACTCTTTGGAGCGGTGTATGGACTCCGGGTCAGACCTCACAGCCGAGAGGCTGTTTATCCTTCCTCCTGATGGTTAATCAATATGAATTTGAGTTCTGGATCACACCAGATGATGCTTTCAGGGATCCATTCGAGCATGCAGGATGACTACTGGTCTTACCCGAGGTTCCCGGGGTCAATTTTTTGATCGATCTTCTTATTTTGGACATTGATGATAGTGTCTCGGTCACTTTTAAAGACCTGCAGCAGTGTAGTGTTCTGTAGTACATCGACACAAAGGATGTCAATGTTTTATAATGATGAAATTTCAAAACTACGCCTGTTCTGGTGCCTGAAATCCCTCTTAGTCTCTTTAGACGACTGTAGAGTTTAAAGTGGTGCAATATACGGTATTAGACGGATCAGTTGTAGTTCTTTCCCAAAATCACTGGTGGTCAAAAATCAATGGTTTGTTCTTCTCTCTTTACACTCCAACAGTTCAGTGTTTTTGAGCATCTTTCTTCGTTGAATTGTAATGATATCTGCACTTTTATGCTTTTGTTTTATTGCTTTGCCACTGAGATGCATACAAAAATGTTATGCAGTAGTTTGACATTTGAAATATCTGGAGAAACAATAACCCTGTTATTGCGGTTTGTCTGTTTGATTTCAGGGCATCCTGTTTTGCACCAGCGAGTGTCTGAAGACTTCTCAGGACCTGGTGAAGATCTTCCTTCACGAGTCCAACCGGGTTTACCGCGACAAGATGGTGGAAGACAAAGATTTCGACATCTTTGACAAGCTGCAGTCAGAAACGGTGAAAAAGTTCTACGAGGTGAGAGTTTTTTGACTGGAGAGGGTCATTAAAGGCCAATGCTAATCAGAGCAAAACCCTGCCAGTCCAGCAAATTGGGGAAAAAATTATTTCTGCTGTTTTTCTCTCCACGGCCTATGGGATTAGATCTCTGCCACAATTCTGCATGCAAAAGATCATATTTTGAGTGCGCAAAAGTGCGTTTTGCACGCGCGTGAACTGAGGCATATTGTAACGCTGGGTTGTATTGAGCAAGCCAGTCGTCGGCATTTGGAGAGCACTGAGGGCGGGCATCAAGGGAGCAAGCTAGTGAAACGTTGCACGCGCAAAAGAGAAGTTCTCCACACATCCAAAAACGTATTTTAAATGCCAAATTGATTTTAGTGCACTCAAAATACTTTCTTCTTTGCGAGAACTCAGATCGCACACGTGCAAAATGCACTTTTGTGTGCTTAAAATATGATCTTTTACGTGCAGAATTGTGGCAGAGATCTAACCCCATAACGTCCCGCACCTCCTGAGGCTTATGAGTGAACGCTCTGCAGGAAAGTGAAGGAGAGAAATCGCACTTTCCTTCTTCACCTCTGCTCGCCTTTAAAGCAACATCTAATCACCTGAACTACACACACGTGTTGATCGACACATGAAATACACCAATTTCCGTTGGTTTTGGAGAGGGAAAGGTCTCCGACCGCTATGAATTCTCAGGGTGGCGATCGTTTGATTTACATGAGCTCCTCCCCAAGGCAGCAGCGCTCAACCTTAGTTATTCACCTTTTAATATTTTATGGCGTTTTAAGGCTGCTTTTTATTCCCACCAGGATATGGAGGAGACCCTAGAGGAGACCAGAGCCATGAATATGTACTGCCATTTCGCCACGGGCATCGGTGAACCCAAATACATGGCGGTGCAGTCCTGGGGGAGCCTGAACAAGACCCTGCTGGAAGCTCTTGACAGCTACAATGAAGTCAACGCGGCTATAAACCTTGTTTTGTTCGAGGATGCCATGTCTCATATGTAAGAGAGCCAGAAAGAGCTTCTGCTGATGGATGAACATCTGGGCACTACTTTAGACTGTGCATCGTATACCAGAAAACGGGATCAGTTACGATAATGTACTATACAGCTAAACATGCTAAAACCCTCTGAGGAAGTGTGATATCAACTTAACGAAAGTTATTATGTATCTATAAATTTTCCTTTTAATTCACACTCAAACGCATTTAAATGGATCTTTTTGGCACGTCTTGTGTTGTTTTTAAACGTCCGTGTTTCCCACAGACTTAAACTCTATTTATGGTGGCACTTTCACGGGGGGAATTTAATGTATAACTTTGATATGATAACAATATCGATATTCTATACCATTTTTGATACCACAGAGAAAAACTGCCACAACTTTAAGGGCATATAATTTTATTGAAAGATAAATATAACAAGGTTAGAACATAACAATGAGGTATATATTTACGTTAATGAAAACAACTTGAGGTGGTAAAACACTGGATTTGCATATGTTTACTTCAAATTTCTTTACAGAGAAGTATTATTTTTCCTACTTTTACCCAAAATAGGTTGGTGATAATATATATATATAATAAATGGATTAATAAATTCTGAATAAAAGTTATTTAATTTAATAAGAATGTATAAAATGTATTAAAAAAAAAAAACCTGAAACCAATATAATTACAACAACTTCCTTAAAACCAATTAATTGACTAGCAACCCACCAACTAATTGATTTTTAAATTATGTACATGCAGTTTTGCATCCAGACCAAATCACTGGTGATATCTGGCTTTTGTGCCGATTCTAAACTCTACTGACCGAATAATAAACAAATCCACTTTCAGGTTTTTTAGTGAGTTAATTAAAATAAGTCTTCATTTCAGCATGTTTTGCTGTCATTGGATTGTCCTGATATGTATTAATCAGCATTAAACACACTATATAATAAATGCTATCCATTGATAAACCAGTCAGCTAATCTTAGTGGTTGATTTTTCAGGACAAACCTTTTCATGGAGTTAGGCATTACTCAGCAGGATGAAGTTTGATTCTTCCTCCGCATGACTCTATTTGATCTCCTTAACCCTTCTGACCCTCGTCTCTCCTGCTTCAGCTGCCGTATCAATCGGATCCTGGAGTCTCCGCGGGGAAATGCTCTGCTGGTCGGGGTGGGCGGCAGCGGGAAGCAGAGCCTGACCAGGCTGGCGGCGTTCATCAGCTCCCTGGAGGTCTTTCAGATCACGCTGAAGAAAGGATACGGCATCCCTGATCTCAAGGTTCGCTCCGTTTATTAGCCTGAACCAAAACAAAACATGCTTGCAGAGCGGCTTCCATTGCTCAGAATCACACTGAATCTCCACTGAAACCGCTTACTGTTTGCCCTATCAAATATTCATTGTAATGCTCCTCGCCAGAGTATAGATCACCTTGCTGCAAATTCACACTCTGCCCTGTAAAAGTCTGAAAAAAGAATGGAATAATTAGCAATTACCAGAGGAGCTCTTGAGCACAATATGAGATTTCAGAGCTCATCAGCCTTCATGCCTGTAATGTTTCATCTCTTAGCGTTCTGCTGGGACTATTCCAGGACGAGGAGCTCATGGTGTACGACTGTTGTTTTGTGTATTTTTAGAGCGATCTGGGCGCGTTGTACATTAAAGCTGGCGTGAAGAATATTGGCATGGTGCTCCTCATGACAGATGCCCAGGTTGCAGATGAGAAGTTCCTCGTGTTGGTGAACGACCTTTTAGCGTCTGGTAAGCTTTGCTGTGTGTCTGTGCCCACTGGCATCACGTAGAGCTCGCTTTCTCTGCCAGATGATATGCATAGGGTATATTTGTGATTATATGGCTGGAAATATGAAGGAAATAGACTAGAGTCATTAGACTACTTTCGCAGTACTTCCTTGAAGGAGTTCAGAGATTGATTCAATCAGTGTCTCTGATTTATACTTCAATATATATATATTTTAAATTCATTACTGTGAATCATTGTTTCAAGAAATCAATTCGATGGTTAGTTTGAATAATCTGAAAATGTTCACTGGTCCAATAGCTATTCTGTATGTTAGTAAAAGAAAAAATGTATTTATATATTATCATCATGTATTATTAACAACAATAATAATGAGGATAATAATAATAATATAATATTAAATTGATGATGATGATTAATATGTGTTTTTACTACTAATGAGATTTTTATTTTGGTAAGCAGTTGTCATTTGAATTAATTAATTCATCATTTTAAATTATTAAATATGAATTCAACGATTTGTTTGAATCTTCACTGTTCAATGAACTGCTCCAGTAGTGTACTTGTATGTTATTAAAAAAAGATAAAATATTTACATTATTTTTAAAAATTAACAACAGTATTAATAACTATATTAAAATCATGATGATACAATGATTATCATTAATGTGCATCTTTGTTACTAATATGCATTTCATTTTAGCAAACAATTAAAGTATGTGGGTAATTATTGCTTTTTAAATAATATATTGATCCATGTATTGTCCATCTTGTGAAAAATTGTGGAAAACATAATTATATTTATTTTTTACTGTACTTGCTTTAAACATTTTGAACATCACAGAGAATATTTGGTTGAAAAGATGGTTTCGCTAATTTAAATCACCCACTTAAATCATTTCTAAGTATGAAGTATGATTGTGTTAGTTATATTTCCCAGGTCTACAGCCTAAATCATGGCCTACTGTCATTTTTCAGAGTGCTTTATTCTTTTCCTATGGTCTATGGCATATTTATAATGCCGTTGGCTGTTCCATCTTTCAGAGCACTGGAATATTCCTTTGTAAGACTGATATCATGCTCTCAGATGTTGCCAGCATCTGTCTGACTGCTCTGCTTCCATCATCATTGTTTTGTCTTCATCACAGGTGAAATCCCAGACCTCTTCCCTGATGATGAGGTGGAGAACATCATCGGTTCTTTAAGGAATGAAGTGCGTGGCCAGGGTCTGATGGACACAAGGGAGAACTGCTGGAAGTTCTTCATCGACCGTGTCCGTAGGCAACTCAAAGTACGTGAGCAGAAGTGAATCATGAAGCCTTTATACTCCCACAGCCTGTGAGAAAGATTAGGCTCCGAACTGCCTTTGTAAAGCTTCACACACAGAGTCTCGGCTCTCGCAATGTGACTAGATCAACACAAACAGAGAGGCGGTCTGTCCGAGGGCTGGTTCTGATGAACAGATGTGCGGATAGATGGATGGGTGGATGGATGGACGAATGGGTTAATGCATGGATGGATGGGTGGATGGATGGACGGATAGATTGACGAAGGGGTGGACGGATGGATGCATGGATGGATGGATAGGTGGACAGCTGAATGGATGGATGGATTGACGGATGGATGGATGGATACAAAAAGAAAACAAAAAGATAAAATAGATTAGAGGGTCAAATAAAGATGGAAGAGATGTGTTTCTAGCCATTTCTTGACGATAGCTAAGTACTCAGCTGCTCGGACTGAGTTGGGCAGGTCATTCCACCAGGAGGGAACATTTCATTTAAAAGTCTGTGGAAGTGGCAAACATTAGTGCCTTGAATTTTATGCAAGCAGCTATTGGTAGCCAGTACAAACTGATAAACAGAGGTGTGACATGCATTATTTTCGGCTCATTAAACATTTATCTTGGAGCCGCATTCTGTATTAATTTTAAAGGTTTGATAGAACTGTCTGGAAGACCTGCCAAGAGAGCATTGCAATAGTCCAACCTGAACAGAACAAGAGCTTGAACAAGGAGTTGTGAAGCATGTTTCCGAAAGAAAGGGCCTGATCTTCTTGATGTTGAATAAAGCAA